ATGAAGCCCAACAATCATGTTTTACAGTCCTGTGGTCTCAGCCTCAGATACTTATCAAATCACACAAAGCTCATGTAGAAACAAACAAATGAACAAAATATGTTCTCCTTCATTTCTGTCAACCACACATTTCCAGGTATTATGGTTGCTAGACAACCTGGGCAGCGCGAAGGAGGCTGGACCGTCCCATTTCACAAGCCTCACACTTCCGGCCTCAGCGGTCTTTGAGTACGCGGCCCTTGAGGCTGCGTACTTTAAGGCTGCAGACCAGCCAAGGTCTGTTTCAGTGTGAGGGCATCGGTGCGTCACACCGTCATCAGCTGATCGATCACTGCAGTAATCTATTCCTGTGTAGCGACCTTTGACTCATAATTTTGTCTTTATTTTCATTATTACATCATATTATATTATTATGTCAGCAACAATAAATACATAAAGCGCACTGAGTCATAGCTTCAAAGTCTTACCCGTGTGTGTGTTCGTCTGTCTGCAGGACACGAAGCAGTTTGACCCGTTCCAGGAGTGGACAGACGGTTACGTCCGGTACATTTACAGCGGTGAGAAACTTTAATTTTTGTTTTTTTAAATTCTGTCCAAACATAAAAGACATGACGTGAAGATTTATGAGCCTGTAGGTTGATTCCCACTCAGCTTTAATGATTTTTAAACTTTATTTGATCTTCTCAGTCATTTTCTTTTAGGGAGCATGATTACATGTCAAAATATATATGTACGAGTTATTATTGTGAAATTGTTTTAAAATGTCATAAACATGCTGCAGTGTTTGGGTAATTACTCAAAACATAATAATAGGAGTTTGTTCAGTCAGCTGAGTTAAGTGCATGTCTGACCAGAGAAAGAAAGTCACGACTTACCATGGCAACAAGTAAATAAAAAGCATTTTAGTTCAGTTTAGTTAATTTTTTTTTACCAATATAGTCCCAAATTCATGAGTTTTATGTTGTAGAGTAGAGACCCACAGCAGGGGTGTCCAACTGTCCTGCAGGTTTTAGATGTGTCCTTGATCCAACACAGCTGATTTAAATGGCTAGATGACCTCCTCAACATGTCTCGAAGTTCTCCAGAGGCCTAATCATGTGATTCAGGTGTGTTGACCCAGGGTGAGATCTGAAACCTGCAGGACACCGGCCCTCGAGGCCTGGAGTTGAACACCGCATGCACTTTGGCGACAATGGGAAGGAAAAACTCCCTTTTAACAGGATGTTAAAAATGTGAGGATTTAGCGGGGAGTCAATGAAGGGAAGCCAATACAGGAGAAATCTGCTCTCTCTTTCTAGTCCTTGTCAGGACTCTTGCTGCAGCATTTTGGATTAACTGAAGGCTTTCAGGGAGTTTTTAGGACTTCCTGATAATAATGAATTACAGTTGTCCAGCCTGGAAGTAATAAATGCATGAACTAGTTTTTCAGCGTCACTCTGAGACAGGATATTTCTAA